GTCGGATACCACAGCACACCACGTCTCTTCCTCCCCTTGCCTCCCCTTTGCTGCTCGCTAGCTCGCTTGCCGTTCTACATCTTTTCGAGAATGCGTTGCAACCGCTCCACTAGAATCGCCTCGGATGCCTTTGCTGCGACGAAGGTCACTCTCAACGCAATCCAAGCGTCTACGGATGGTTGTATCCGCTGTTATAGTGATCTTGGAGGTGAGCGAGGTGAGCTTTCGACTCCAGCTCGTTTCTCAACTTGCTTGCTCAAGGACAATTGTATCGACCGTTCAGAAAGCCAAGGCTAATAAGAAGGGATGCGAGCACATTGCAAAGCGCTCTGCACAACTTGTGCAAGATATTTGGAGACAAACAAAGAACTTCGATGTTGCACTACCAGCAGAAGTGGAGGAGAGCGTCATTCAGATCAAAAAATATGCGCCTGGTCCATCCACTTACAGTTTTGAATATTGACCTGGCTTGCAGGCTGTTCAAAGAGATTGAAAAATTCTTCAAAGAGCTCAAAAAAAAGAACCTTTTGGAACGCTTTGCTCGCCAAGATCGTAATAAAAGCCAAGTCGAGGAGTATGGAAATTACTGGACGAGGCAATGTCGCATTTCAGCGTACGTGTGTCCCTTAATGTCAACCTTCCAAGTGCGCTGAAATTCCGATATCAAGATCAACCTGGAATTAGGCCTACATCGTTTATATCTGGAATCCGCTGCCGGCGACCGGGAGAGGCACGCCGCTGTGCTGGACGTCTCGGGGATAAGCAAATCTGAGCGCTTGGTGCGTCAAACATGAGATGTGCCTTACCGCTAATTGACGAGCTACCTCTGGCAGCAGCTCCTCACACAAATACGCGGTAAAGTGCTGTTCGCTCATGTTCTAGTTGGGCAATCATTTCTGCATTGGGCAGCGCGCTCTTGGATCAGTGGGGTGTGCGTAGGCACCTGTGTAGGATAGGTGGATTGCGAAAGGTGTGCATTTTATTATGTTGGTGATGAGGGGCGCGTATTTTTCGAGAATCCCAAAGGTGTGCAAAAAAGATGGTTCTCGAGGTTGTGTATATTTTCTCATTCAGTCGAGACTGTGTGAATAAATCACCAACCTATATCGTGTGTATTTTCTGGACTTCATGAACAGTACTGAATGTATTGGCGTGTGTTGCTTCTGTGCTCCAGGGCGGTGTGTTTTCCGATGAAAACTGCAATAATAATGTTATAATATTACCCCCATACATTCCATTTAGACGGAGACTGGCAGTCTGGGCGCCGTGTAACAGCGCATTCCGAGGCAGACGAGACTCTAGCAAACCTACCCCAATTTTGAGAAGCGCACTTCATCATGGATACTGAGTGCTGCACGGGCCCCTTGGCCACCGGGTACGGACACAGCTGCCGCTTTGCAGTACCGCGGGTCTTCTGCGCTTCTCGCATATGATGGGCGGTCTTGACGGTCGCCCATACTTTCCACGGCATTCCGAGTATTCTCCGATTCCGAGGCGCTAATGGAGGGCCGCTTGTTTGAGACCAAGCTAGGTCACCGATTGTCTTCGCCATTGCATATATATGTATATATGGTGAAGCACTGGCCAAGCTAGGATACGATAAAGTAGACGGAGGGCATTCTTGATGCGCATCGTCTCCTGTGCAGGTAAACGCGTCGCGTTTCACAAATAAAAGGCGTATTCATGTTTGCTTTGTAGATAAAGATAATTTCTCTCCCTAGCGCGCATGCAGTGCAGCCTCCATCTTGGGCAAGAGCGATAGCTCGCTCCACCACCAAATCTGCGAACTATCCTGTTCGCTCCAAGCCGCGCCCGTCCAAAACGTATTGCGCCGGCCCTCCAGTGCATACAAATCCTTGTATGCGCCATTAGCGACATCGTGCGCCGACGGAATCAGGCGGAACGGCGCGTGGATTTTCAGGAACTCAAACCTTACGTCGTTCGGGTTGCCCGCGGCCGTGCCGTGCGCGACCATGCGCGTGATCTCACCCCGGATGAGCGCTTCGACGTCGTCGTCGAGAAAGCCGTGGTCCTCGAGTGTGCCGAACCCCGAAATGAAGCGGCCTACGGGGATGGGCGAGTACGAGAAGGCGCCCGGGAGGGTGAGGAGGTTGTAGGGTGTGTGGGTGCCGATGTTGTTGTAGGAGTTGCTCGAGTTGAGCCCAGGGTAGGAAAACACGGTGACGCCGTAGGTCAAACCGTGTAGCTTGGCGAAGAGGAAGCGCTCGTGCGCGTCGAGGTCGAGGTGCGCGGCGGTGAGCGTACGAAGGGAGGGTGGAATAGCGACGAGCAGTTTGCGCGCTTTGATGAGCGTGGTTACGTTTGCTGACGATGATAGCGATGGGGAGGTGGATAGGACGCAGACGCCGCTGGCTGCGGTTTCTTGTACCCCAAAGCATGCGCCGGAGCGGTCGACGTCAAGGATGGTGCTGTTGAGGAACACGTTCTGCGGGCCCAGGTACGCGGCAGCGGCGTTGTAGATATCCTGGTTGTCGCCCGACGCAGCGTTGATAAAGCCCTTGAGGAACGCATCGACGAGTTTGGGGTCAACGGCGTGGATGCCGTGATAAGTCGGCAGCTCCCACAGGTTCCCGATGTTCTGCGCGATTCCGTTGAAGAACTGCAGCATGGCGGTGAAATTGTGCCGCGCCGCAAAGACCGTGAAGGGCTCCAACAGCTCGCTCGGCAGCGGGTACGGGAGGTTTTCGTACGAGAGGGTGAGATAAGGGTATGTGGTGTTGACGTATGCCGTATAGGCTAGCATGGCGGGGATAAACGAATCCACCTGGGATACAGGGTCGAAACGAGGCACCGTCTTTCCCGTGGCTAGGTCAAGGAAGACACCGCCTGTCGATGAAACGGCCACGGGCCCCGTCGGCACGCCGAGCAACGAAAAGTAGGCATTGTTGATAGTGTTGTTGTAGTACAATGTGACGCCTACGTTATGGGGCACGCCGTTTGCGTCGATATAGGTCTCCACATGTCCGCCCAGCCGGCCTTTCTGGTCGAGGACCACAACGGACCGCCCGCGCGCCACAAGTTTGACGGCCGCATATGTTCCTGATGAGCCGCCGCCAAGGATGACCACGTCACGGGAGATGGTGGTGTAGTGCGATGGGAGCGACACAGCATGGGCAAGGACGAACACGTAGGAGAGGAGGAGGAGCAGAGAAGAGACCATGGTGGGCTTTAAGTGGATCGTTCACTTGATTGACCAAACTATATACCCCCAGTTTGTTCCCATCCGAGAACGGTCTTATTAATTAACCATTCTTTAACGATTACCTTCGCGATTCTTTGTACTTCTTTGGTCTCATCCGCATATGGGTTAACCCCTTCTGTTCTTCTCGGTTCCTCCACCGCATTTCAACACTCAAAAAACCCACCACGGCAGTCCAACGTCTTGATCTTGCTCCTTTTGCCATTAATATTCTCACCATGTCCGAAATCAGAGAGGTTGTGGTAAGCCACCACGAGCCATCTGATGGCTTTTCCGGCATATGCATCCGGGTGGCTTCCGGATTTGGGTGGCTGTTGGGTGGCTTCGAGAATAGCCTCCTGGCAGCCTCATGTTGTACTATAGACCACCCTCACACCACCAACCATGCAGAGAGCTATCTTCGAGTCTAGACTGCGCATTACACAGTTGCTAAAGGTCATTTTCGAGGATTGGATCGACGATTGCGATGTCCCAGCATCAGGGCAAGCGAGAGTGGATTTGAGGGCTTTGAGTGATGCCGACTGGTGGAAATTTTTCCAGTACCTACCAATCCAAGAGCTTTCTGGCCTTGGCTGCTCACGCTCTGTGCTAGATTCACACAGGAAGAGGTTCAGCACGTGCGGGCACGCGTCTGAGGGGGCACAGTGGGCGTGGGATAGGTCAACAGTGGAGTGCATACATCATTAATCCATGGCCTCACAAAGCCAACGGCACCCCGAAGCCACCCGGATGCACATGCCAGAAAAGCCATCAGATGGCTCATGGTGGCTTACCACAACCTCTCTATTGACAGTCCTCCAACTGTGCCGCAATGGTAAAAGCTGTTGAGTTTAATCCATTCCGAGGTTTTTTAGATGAACAGCCAGGTCTCATGATTGAACAGCTTTAATACACAGCCCATTGATGTTTCCCACCTCGCCGGATGTCCGTGCTGTATAAATCCATGCCTGACTGCAGCCTTCTGCACCTCATTTGATCCCGATGCCTTTCCTCGGTTGTACCCTTCCTAGGATCGTCTCCTGATCTGGTTCTATGCACCTGCCGTTGAAGATCCCTCTGCCGCACTGAAGGCTGGGAATTCGAGCTGCTATCTCTCTCTGGGTCTAGATATACTGCACACAAACCGAACCCTCAAGAACATTCAAAATCTCAATTTGAGGTCTGCAATTTCTTTGACGGCTCATTCTCGGTGGACCGATTCCACTGCCCGACTTAAATTGCTGTACATATTACAATCTCTTCGCCCCGGCGGGGCTGGCCGCTGTTCTCATCGCCCGCACTCGGATTAATTTGTTGGGCACAACCCATTTCTCATTGGTGCCGATGGTTCGCTCAAACATATCCTAACCGTCTCACAATGATCACTGCTCCCGGCGCTGAGTTCTGATGAGGATCATTTTCTATGTGCGCAGCTTCAAATATTTCATCTCCATTAACATTTAACTGCTAACAGTTCATCCCATCACGGTTGCCATATGTGAAGGACGTGTGCATATCAACCCGTTTCTGCTTGCTTCCTTCCAGTGTTTCCTCAGGTCTTCCGTGAGACTCAATCCTTTCCGCAGTCAAGCATGGATCATCTACTTTGGTGAAGTCAGTCTGAAACCGGAATTTTCAACATGGCTACTTGGCGCAGTGCATCTAATTAATGGTGTTGGATTTTTTGCTGTGTTGTACGCAAGTCTTTCCTCTACTCCAAATTCTACAGTCACTGTGTTCCCACCCCCTGTAGCCACACGTAAACACATGTGCGTCAACCTTATCCGAAGTTTTTCGAAAAGTTCAAAATGGCCAAATGGTAAGGTGTCTCACTCGCAAAATCCTTTGGATCAACTTTCGCTAGACAACGACCAATGACAAGGTTAGTTGTTCGATTCAGCTATGGACATGTCATTTGTTCCCGGCAGGCATTCAGCTTTGCCAAACCAACTTTAGACGTCACGCTCGTCAGAGAGTGGTATGAGAGCATGTTAGTTAATGCGTGATTCTTTTCTTCTTCGATCGTAACGCTTTCTTCTACATTTTTTAGGCGGACGATTGAACCGAATTTTAGCGGAAATATTTACCGCCATGCGAAGACAGCACTTGAGACAGCAGTAAAAAAAAAAAAGACAAAAACATTGCGCAATCTTGAATCGATCGATGACTCGGACTGGAGTCGAACAGGCGGATTCCGCGTACTCGTCGACCTTAGATATAGATGCGGACCGTCCGCTACCGAGTCAGTGCGAGTGCAAGTGTTGAACCTTCGAACAAATTAAACTCGAATCGGAGCAGCGAGAGCGGCTTACGTTGAGGTTCAACATGTCAAGTAGAAGCTTGGTTGAAACACTGTTGCGAAGAGGGTGAATGCGTGTTGCTGACGCAATGCTGGATGATTCAGAAACCAGGGAACCATTTTTTTGGGGGAAAGATGCGACGGACAGAGACGCAAAAAGTCAGGAATCTTCGAGATCACGGCTCGGACCCGAATCGAACAGGCTGTGCTGCCAAGTTTCGTGGACACGGACCATCCGCCACCGAGTCGCCACAGTACCGATGTTCCAGATCTAGACTCAACACAGTGAAGCGCATTTCAGCGGCGTGTTGCGAAGTAAAAAGTCAAGCAGGCTCCGGATCAAGATCGCGTTGGGATGAGGTATGTGCACTCAGTCGGGTTTGTGTCAATCGAAAACGGTTAGTTGAAGAAAAGTTGAACCATGAGAATATCTAGCGCTATCAAAGTATGCCCGAGAAGGCCGAACGGGTGGGACCTCGGCTCTATTCGGGTGTCCGCCTTTACGAAGTCAGGCGAATATCAAGTTGTAAAACTGAAAACATCCCACCCATCCGAATTAGTCTCTTACACTGACTTCCCACTAGCAACCTTACATCCGAATGTACCGCGGTTACCCCCAAGTTGCGCATGTTCCTTCTTTCCTGCCGACGCGGTTTCCAAGGGTCGCTATGTTCGTTTGGCGTTTGGCGTGACCGTACAACTTTAAACGGTTCGGAACGGTTTAGCCGTGGAGTAAGCTGGAGTCAAGGAGGTTGAAATAATTGACCTCCGTTATTACTGAACCCGAATGAGCTGGGCGTCCCACCCAGCGGCGATTCCCCATGCTCGCCACTCGGCGCCCAGTCTCAGCTACGGCTCGTTCGCGAGTCGCGCCTTTTGGCGACAACATCCCCACGTATGCAGAGTTTCGGCGCCTCGCGTCTGACCCCCATTCGGGCTCGTGAAGTACCCAGGTCACGTCGTGTCAATGATGATGCCCCGAGCCTGTGAGGATGGAGTGTATTTGGGCGAAATATCTGCTGCATCTTATTTCCTGGGTACATAATCGATCCTCGAGGTGACTTCTCAACATTCATGAACTCAAAGCGACTGACTGGATTTCGGTCCTAATGATCCGCGAACGGTCAACTCGCGAGGTTCCTCAACGAGCACTAATGGGGTTTATTCCACTGACCTACCGACCTACCGTGTTGGTCTGAAGCAGTTTGAAGCTCGGCCTGTTGCCGCCGCGCGCTAGATTAGCACCGAGCCTGAGTGGGCGGGGGTCCGTGAGGGGGCCGTCGCAGAAGGTTACCTTCATTACTTTCTTTTCTCTCCATGCCTTTTAAACATTCCCTCCTCGCCGTTGGGCTTACGCTGTTCCTGTTAGCGGTATAATTCTACCTTACTTCATACTTACATTCATTCCATTCCGTCATCCCTACGTTATCACTTTCGTTATTCCAAGCTTTTGCTAGCACAGCCTCAGTTACTTTTCTTTAGCTCCGTAACTGAGGCGTGCGTACCCATATTAATCTGACCTACTTATCTTACTAATTATCCTGTAGACTACGCTAACAGGTATATCATTAATAGAGTTACTTTTCTTTAGCTCCGTAACTGAGGCACTACGCTAACAGTTCCCCAGCTCGTATGCTGGATTTTCTGGAAAGAACTTGAAAATCATGCCCCTGGGTGGTACGTGTCCTCCACATACACTCTGCAGAGCAAACGAGTCGTTCAACATCGCTCACATATGGAACTGCTAGTTCCGACCTAAATGGGTACCGCGCCACTCTAGACCTCCTCCTCGCCGGTGATGGCAACGCTGTCGACATGGTCGGCTCGCAGAAGAGTGGCAATTTCACCGACCCCGACCACGAGGGCTACCTGGGCTTCATCATCAGCCAGATAGACGCCAAAGGCATAGCAGCCATGCCCGTTCAGCAGCCCAACATCCTCACCCTCGCGGCGGGCACGAACGACATGCTGCAGAACGTCGCCCCGACGGACGCACCTGCCCGCCTTGTCACAGCCATCCAAGATATCCTGGATGCGTCTTCAGCGACGCTCGTCGTAGTGACCACGCTCCTCCCCAATGGAAACGCGGCCGTCAACACTCGTGTCAATACCTTCAACGCCGCCTTGCCGGGTGTCTTGCAGCAGTTCACCGATTCGGGAAGCCCAGTCATCCTGGTGGATGCGCACGCCGTTGTTGCAGTTGGCGACCTGGCCGACGGAACGCACCCCAACGACGCCGGGTACAAACGGATCGCAAAGGTTTTCTACGATGGCATTCAGGAGGGATTCTCGAAGGGATGGATTTTCGATGTTTGATGGTCGTCACCGGTAGTGGACCCCCATAGGATGGCTCAGTAGTAGTGCTTTTCAGATATTGATTGGAGGTTGAGCGTAATACTTGGGACATTAAAAGGATATCTGCGTTAATTGATTGTAGAACTGTTGAAGATGACGTTGAGGTGGACACAGTCAAAACAAGGAGTTGGATCAAGTTTCCACATAACCACTAGTACTAAATGTCATGGGAGCGGTGCAACCGAGTCGTCGCAGATGTGGAGCTGACCTCGGTGAGGGAAAGAGAATTGTGGACGACGGCGGACTCACATCGAATAACAACGGAGACAACACCGGAGGGGCGACAAAAAGATGTATCCCTGCAGCTTCATTCATCATTTTGAGACCCTCGTGGAATTGGTGGAATCGTTGAGCAAGATAGAGACAAAATAGACAAAAATAATTGATCAATGGCCACATCCGTACGACTTGGGACTGAGTCGAACAGGCAACTTCCACGTGCCATGCAGATTTCTACCTCAAGTTTCGTCCATCCGCAACCAATTCGGTACAAAGGTGGAGCCAGCATCAGTGAATGAGAGAGGATGTAAATGAGGGCGACTCACAATTGAGATTCGATGCACCTCATATATATTGATAGCGGAGACGCGATACGGGAGGGGCGATGGCCATTGGAGGATGTATTCCCGCAGCTTCCTTCACCGTTTTTCTGAAGCCGCTGTGGAATCGTAATAAACTAAAGGGAAGGAGTCGAGCACCAGGCCGCCACCGGAGCCTGTACTCGATTCCGCCCCAGCAAAGAGCATACGACGTACGTGACCGACCGAAACGGAGTCGCTTCACGGGCGCTGTGGGATGTCGAGAATACCTCGACGTTTCGTCGATTGCGTCAGCGCACCAATTCTTCGAGTTTTGCTCGTCGTAAGTTGTGGTCAGGAAGAAGTCGGATTTATTCGGATCACAATTGGATGATCTCACAACGTGACGCTTTTTGCCACAACCTCCTTGCTCTCCTCCACTGGTGTGCATCGATTTATTCAATTCCGGATTCTGGGCTCAGAAAACACGCCGTAAAGACTCGTGAAAGATGAAGAGAAAATCAAGTACTTCTAATGAGTAAAATCTTTCGCCAAACCTCTTGACGCCGGTGTTTTGGTAGAGCAAGCGATCTTCCTGTGCTGCGCAAGTCGACGCGCCTGCTGGTGGCATCGCATGGTCATATTACTGGCGTTACGAATCTAAGACACTACCTGTTTGCTTCGGTTTGCTTCCGCGGGAGTATAAAAATCGGGAGGGCGAGACATTGCCCCTTACTTTCTTTCTTCCTTACCACCACCTTCCTGCTTTCACAAATCCTCATCCGCGATGATGTCTACCTTTGAGTTTCTGACCTCTGCTGCTTTCGATACGATCTGGCTGGCCAGTCCCCCTCCGCCCTTCCCCACATCCTCCTTCGTCGGCGCTGCGTGCACTTTCTTTGGCCGTTATTGCTCTGGATCGTCTCATACCGAATTTCAGTCTCCTGTCTTTGACGGAGCGAAGGTATGGAGCTCTTCTCAAGTTGTTATCGTCCCACCGAGCTCACCAACTCATAGTCTCCTATTCTCGACCACGAAGCTATCGAGTTTTCGCGTGCTTCTGTTATGCACCTCGTAAGGAGTCTGCCTCACGGACCCTTCGTACTCCCTGCTCACTATACTCTTCAGCCACCGGTCTTCCCACTGGACTGCGACCAAAGTCTCCGAAGGAGCAACCTCAATTGTTATGAAACTTGCTATGACCGGAAGGCTACTAGTTCTCGGGGCCAGGTAAATCATCACGGTCTATGCATTTCTAGACCATGGCTCATACTTATCTCAGGCGATGACTGGCGCCGGACTCGGTCTGGGACTTTCGGTACCATATGGATATGCGCTGAGTGTAGGGACAGAGCGTAACGATCTGGTAGAAGGCTGGACCTCTCCAACGCCGAACACGATCCCTGAACCCAAGAAAGGGCTCCTCGACGGTCTACTGTCCTTCTTCGACGCCATCTACGACATCTTTCCCGCCTCTCCGTCGCCTCCCCCTCCCCAGTCGCTCACCGGCATTCTTCCTCACGTCTTTACGGACTCTGCTCTCTCCCCTATCATGTTCTGGCATCCCGCTCCGCTGACGCCTGAATCCGATTGGCCTAGGCACCTCATACCTCAGGGTACCCCTATCTACCAGCGCTCCTCACCCATACTCCCCGCAGCTTCCGGCGTACGCGCGCGCCACCGTCCCTCGCCCCGGCGGCCGAGACCGTGCTCCAGCGTCATCGACCTTAAATCCCC